TCGAAAACCAGTAACCTACGAATATCTTCTCTCACTGGCCATGTTTCACAGCCATAAAGTAAGACGGAGCGAACCACTGCACAGTACACTCGTCCTTTAGTCAGCAAACGGATATCTCGCCTTCGCCATAAGTGACGCAGGTTGGCAAAAGCCAATCGAGCCTTCTGTATCCGAGCTGAGATTTCGTCAGTCACCAGGCCATCGGCACTGATGAGACTCCCAAGATAAGTGAAGCGGTCTACACGCTCGACTACTTCACTCCCTATCACTAGTTCAGGTGCTGATGAAACCCAATCTTGAAGCAACATTTTGAAATTCGAGGGGGAAAACCGCATAACGAACATGCTTGCATTGTTGCTTAGAGTGATCAAAAGACTGCATTTTGTCAGCGTCTTCACCGAATAGAACTATGTCATCGGCATATTCTAAGTCAATAAGCGAGCCTCCTGGTAAAAGGTCTACTCCTGAAAATTCAGACGAGGATAAGGTTATATCTAGGAGCATGTCTATGATAAAATTAAACAAGAATGGAGAGAGTTGACATCCCTGACGGACACCACTTGAAGTAAAGAATTCCGGTGACAGTTCGCCATAAGCTCTCACTCGACCAGTGGTGTTCGAGTAGAGAGCTGGTATAAGGTTAATGTACTTCTCTGGTACACCTTTCAATGACAGACACTGCCACAGAACCTCACGATCCACTGAGTCAAATGCCGCTTTTATGTCCAGGAACACGACTATTGTCGGACGTCTAAATGTGTGTCTGTGTTCCAGGACCTGTCGTACTGTAAAGATGTGGTCTATACAACCACGTACAGGTCGAAAACCAGCCTTGGTTTTTCGAGTTTGCTCCTGACGAGCTGATCGCCGCTGCCTTTTCCATCGCTTTTGCTTTCGCCACCCACCACTGTTCGCGGTCGTTACGTAGGCTTTTTATAAGTCTGCGCCTAAGTTGACTTCGTTCTTCATCATGTTCAGAGCCAGATGGGATGCGTTTTCGGGCATCCATCATATTGGTGGATGAACCTGAGATCCACGGCTTCATTCTAGCCTCATGGTCAACCTTAGTAGCAGATATCCCTGCCGTTTCCGCAGCCTTTTTGATATCATTCCATCCTGCTTCCGGATGGGAATCGCTTAAATGGTCGCCTGTCTCTTTAGTTGTTCCTGAAATATATTCTTCCCCTTATTATCATTAGGTAAAACCCTAAGAGGCTTTCTTACGGCGTCTTTCCTACGCCCAGAAAGCTTCAAACTAATACGCGATCGCACTAAGGCATGATCTGAATCTAAACATGTGCCCCAGAACGAGCGACAGTCCTCTATCGAACCCCTCCATCGGTGGCTGATGGCGATGTGATCTAGTTGAGTCCAACGTTGAGACGACTTCGGGGGTCGCCAGGTCAACAGATGCTTTTCCTTATGCTTAAAATTAGTGTCTGCTAGAAACAGTTGGTTATTTGAGCACAGTTGCAACAGACGGTCACCATTGTCTGTTCTCTCAGTCGCTACACCATAACATCCACCTAGGTGTCTTTCGTTTTCACCTAGTCTACCTACTTGTGCATTGAAGTCACCATCCATTATTACTACATCAGAGCACCTAGCTTTTCGAAGGAGGTCCGAGAGCTTTCTGTAAAACTCATCTTTCACCTCGTCTGAACTGCAGTCGGTGGGGGCATAGGCAGATACGATGAAGAGGCAACGGCGAGTGTCCCTATCTTTACGAGTCCTTACTGTCCCGTTTAGTCGGACAGCGCACAAGCGACTATCTATCGGGATCCAGTCTAGGAGAGATTGTTCTGCCATAGGACACAATGGTTTACCTACGCCAGCGAGACCCCGGGAAGCGGCATCAGGGCTACCAGATACACGAAGAGTAAATCGGGCAGCTTCTTTATTTTGACATGGTGAAACCAAATTAATGATTTAACTAGGATCCTGTGTGCGCATCTCCGAGACGCAGCATACATCGATGGCGCGAGATTCTAAAGTCCCAGCTAATGATGCCTGTTGCCCTATTTGACACAATATCCGTACATTTAATGCTCCAACATATAGTCTAGAGAGGGCTTTAAGGATACCAGGAACGACGTTTCGCGACCTCGCATCGTTTGCATTTGCTGTGCACTGTGATAAATGAATGTGAGAAGAGTTAGTTGTGGAGATAAGAGAGAATTAATAGGGGGTGTAAAAAGGATGGATTTTGACCAATTTGGTGTCGTGTGCTGTTGCGGGTATGAGGGCGGTGGTCACTTCCCGGCTGCCCACACCGCGGAAGGTTGTTTCTTGAGGAGCCTGAAAAGGAAGATGGATTAGTGTTGGTCTCGGAGACCTGGTTGCATGACCGCAGAGTCCATGGGACAACTGCTTGAGGCGGGTCACGCACGGCCATTTTATGAAACGTTTTTTGAGGATTAGCTACGTTCTTAAAGGCCCTTAGTGGGGACCCTTACCGCCGGAAAGGGAAATCCGTGAGGTAGGGGAGATGTGACATTTTTAGGGCCGTTATTTTCTAACCATTCCTTCATTATGAGAAGGCAGCATCGCTGCAGATGCTGGTTGTCCGAGGGAAACACCTTACTGCTGTCACACCCCTCTGCAGTCAGCAGTACGACTTCGCCCTCAGACCTTGGGTAGCTGCTTTTAGTCTCATCGTTCTCCAATCGACCTGCCTGGCATGGTAGGACCTGCAGGAACATGTGTTCCAGCCAGTATAGCTCCGTTGGGTCATCACGATAGGCAAGCCCGACCACCACGTCAAGGTAGCAGCTTTGGTCGGGTAATTATTGGCTTCGATTGTACTTAGACGCCTAACTAGAGCTCTTGAAGAACAGACTAGAGAAAACCAGTCTGATTTCAGACCTGGACGTGGCTGTACAGACCACATCTTCACACTACGATAGGTTGTGTTCCTGGACCTTGAGGCGGCATTTGATTCAGTGGATCGTGGGGTTCTGTTGCGGTGTCTATCATTGAAAAATGAAAGAAGTATATTAACCTCATACAAGCTCTCTACTCGAACACCACTGGTCGAGTGAGAGCTTATGGCGAACTGTCACCGGAATTCTTTACTTCAAGTGGTGTCCATCAGGGCTATCCACTCTCTCCATTCTTGTTTAATTTTATCATAGAAATGCTCCTAGAAATAACCTTATCCTCGTCTGAATTTTCAGGAGTAGACCTTTTACCAGGTGGCTCGCTTATGGACTTAGAATATGCCGATGACATAGTTCTATTCGGTGAAGACGCTGACAAAATGCAGTCTTTTGATCACTCTAAGCAACAATGCAAGCATGTTCGTTATGCGGTTTTCCCCCTCGAAATGCAAAATGTTGCTTCAAGATTGGGTTTCATCAGCACCTGAACTAGTGATAGGGAGTGAAGTAGTCGAGTGTGTAGACCGCTTCACTTATCTTGGGAGTCTCATCAGTGCCGATGGCCTGGTGACTGACGAAATCTCAGCTCGGATACAGAAGGCTCGATTGGCTTTTGCCAACCTGCGTCACTTATGGCGAAGGCGAGATATCCGTTTGCTGACTAAAGGACGAGTGCACTGTGCAGTGGTTCGCTCCGTCTTACTTTATGGCTGTGAAACATGGCCAGTGAGAGAAGATATTCGTAGGTTACTGGTTTTCGATCATAGGTGTCTTCGAAGCATTGCTCGTATATCGTGGGACACCCGAGTCAGCAACGCTGTTATTAGGAATCGGGTGCTAGGTGAGAATGGCAAATCAATAGATGAAGCAGTGAAACTTCGTCAGTTGAGGTGGTTGGGACATGTGTTGCGTATGCCCAACCACCGACTGCCTCGTCGAGCTTTGTTTTGTAGTGTGGGAATAGGTTGGAAGAAAGTTAGGGACGGCCAAACCAAAACATGGCAGAAATCCATGAAGTCACTGACTAGCGGACTGAGCCATGTTGGTAGATGTAGACTACCCTGTTTGGGTCCGCGAGACGAAAGTCACCGATGGTTATAGACCTTGAACGATAAGGCTCAAAATCGTTTGCAATGGCGCAAGTGCATCTATTCTTTGAGCTCTCTGAAATCCTAATCTTCGGAATCGTCAGCACCTCTACCTTCGTCTTCTGACCTTATCTCACCTAATTATACTTTTCGAATAATATCTTCGAACCATAGTCTTCTTCATTACCATTAATACCTCTACTGTCTTTATCACTACGGGATTTGATTTGACATTTGCGTCTCTGTGCTAATGTGGTATGGCAACCTTAACTTATGTACGAGGTTCTACGTTGCAACTAACTGACTGATTTGTTCGTAATACAGATCGTTTGGCGGTATCTACTATAGAGAATTTATCAAACTAACCGATAATAAATAATCGAAAAGATATTAACCCAGTAAACAACCACGAGTGTTTATTTTGATTATAACAGTAGCCTCGTTGGAGAGAATTTCCACAAAGTACATGACTACATTTCTGTGCACCCTGGTTTTTGGTTTCGAGCTCTAATGAGAATTCGTGAGGCAAACACCCATCAATGGCGTTGGGTTATTGTTACTCTGATGGAAAGTTATCTGAGGTTAATAGTGTAAACCAGTGTCCTAATTCAATGTTTTGACAGCTGTGCTCATCATGAAAATCTGTGCCAGTCTTTTAACCCCGAAGTTCTGCACAGAAAAGGTCTATTTAGCGCTCCCCTGTTTTCCATGGCAGAGGCTGATGATGACGAAAAGAAGCAAACTAATCCTACCGCAGACGTCTCAATGGAGCAGTCATAAAAATGAGGACCCATCTCCAGGGCACGAAGTATTGCTAACACAACTCGAGTTACGACCAGTCCGTAAGTATTTAGAGTTATACCGAATTCATACTTAAAGAAAATCCGATATGCTTCTGCAGATGCTAAAAAACAAATACAAGTTGTTGAATTTGTATGAAATCTTATTTATAGATGTATAAATATAATATACTGTACAAGGATTTCGATTTGAAATAATTCATGAAGTAAGAACTATGTACAAAATTGTTTAGCTAACAATTAGATGTTGAATCTGGTTCACAAGTAGTTGGCACAGAATCCATAACGGTGACAAGCGGTGAAACACTAGGCAAGACTGTCGGACTTAGAACACTACTTGAAGCACATGGGTGTCTGTTTGAAGGGGAATTCCCTGTAGTGTATGGAGTGCCTACATTATAAACTGGTGTCTGTGGGAGATAACATACTGGTGGAGGTTCCCGACCATGTGGGCTGTGAGGTGAGTTAAACAGTTGCCAATTATGTACTTCCGAACGAAGATCATTGCGAATGGATGCTGGAGTGGCTCCATAGGACTTTGAACATAAAATTATTTTACGCCGAAATGGTTCATTTGGTCTAGGATCCTTGATAGTATCGAAATAGGAAAACCCTAGATCTACTAGTAAAGGTTCAAGATTTGATGGATTGATTTTTAAGGATTCATAAATGGATCTGTGTTTAGCCTGCTAAATAAATTTTACTAAATGTGAACGCTTACCGTTAGTCGAGTTCTCTTGTATGAAGATTTTGGTTGTGGCTCCAGAATTAGGTGTCCACCTGGTTTAAGGCAGTTAAAAGCACGTCTGAAGAACCTCATAAGACCAGGATCACCATGATTAAGGTGGATCCACTTGGTAACACTGAAGGCCATGATTGTATCGTATTCAGGCTCATCATTGGTAACCGATTCATCAATCCAATTTGCAACTTGGAAGTTAATTTTATCATACTTGACATTAGATTCTATATCCCAGCGCAGCTTCTCTCGTTGCATACTTTGGGCGTTGGCAATCAACTCAGCATCACAATCAAATGCGTCTATTTTCTTGACTTCTGGAAACTTTTCAAGCACCCCAAAAGTAAGTGTGCCGTTGTGACAACCATAGTCTGCTACATCTTTACCTACAAACCACTCGGGCATCAAATAAGGAAGTCTATCATTTGGATCGCGACGCCTGTAGTAATTACAATAATTTCCTGTTGCAGGAATAAATCCTCTGCTACAGCGACCAACAGTGTGACACTTTGAGGCCCGCAAAGGACGTCTACGTAATAGGCGGTAAGGCTGTCGTTTAGAAAGGAAATCTGACATTCGGCTGCTAAAACGAGGCGACTCTGAGTCCTTCGATGCGCTCGGAGTTTGAATACCATGATTCTGAGGGCTGCCACAATCAACATCACCAGCAACACTGACTGCTGGTGTGTTCATGCGTGAGTCACCACGAAGCGGTGATAAACCCTCCACTCGACGGCGTTCTGTCTCCTTCATTAGGTCTTGTAAGTTAAGGGGATCACTAGGATTTAAAGTGCTTTTTGATGCTCGGACGTTTCTTTTTCTACGGCTTAGGAAACGAGAGCGTGTAAAAGAGTGGTCTCGTTTAGATCTGATACGATTTAAATGTTGTGGCCGAACAGCTAGATGAGTTAGTAATGGTATCTGATTTCCAAGTAAACCAGGAGCGTTTGTAAATGAAGTGATCAGTCGAACATCATGTCTGGTGGGCGGTAGTCGATTGACTGTAGAATGTGGATACCAAGTCCCGAAGTGCCTTGAAGCAACACCTCTGGGCTGAGAGAAGCAACACGAACGAGTAGACACTGAAATGAAGTCATGGAATTAAATATATACATTGAAGTACCACACATTAAATTAAAAAGAAAGTCACTTATATTACAAACATCATTTAATAGTTACCTCTGTGCTCGCGCGAATAGCTTGCAGAACTGCGCAAATGACGCATCAAAGCGCAGGACACTGGTTATCCCGACGAAGATGGCCGACATTCAAAAATGACTACATTTCAAGCTATCTGATTTAGATTGGCTAAACAAAAACAAATAGTTTCAGGCTTTTCTTTACAGTAGCTTTTTTAGACAGAAACATACTAAGATTTTTAATGAGCAATTTACGTGAAATTCTTTGAGGGTCTTTCTGGACTTCTGTCTGAAAATTTTGTTTTCCATGAAGCACATTGGTGGATGTGAATATGTTGAAATATAAACATAGTGGATGTTTTAGTGGTTGATTGAATGGATATTTAAGTTCTTTTCTGAACTGGTTACCAGAAAGAGAATAGACTTACTATTATTCTAGGTATTAGTCAATTATTTTATTCTTGTTTGTCATAAATACAACAGTCTATCCGATCATTTACAGCCTCGATATGGTCTGGTGTTCCAAACGATGCGCCGTGAACCTGTCCCTAGTTACAGCAATTTTTACTCATGAGATATGGTCTTTTCAAATTTTTTTCGCATGTCCCTGTTCTATTATGGGTAACAAGACTTTTTAGACAGCTTCTCTGAAACTCACTCTACTCTGTTCTGAAGCTCGATTCTGGATTGTAGAAGTTAACTTTTACAGTCTGTCTCTGAAGATGTGTTGATGTAATTTGTTGGCATAATCCTGCTCGATTGCTCAAGCAAATGGAGGTTATTAGGCTGAAATACTGACTATCTGTTTTTGGAGCTTCTATTTCTGGTGGTAGGTTTTAAATAAACAGAATTGATCTGTACTTCCAACCAGTGCATGGTACGTATCCCAAACGTTACAAGTCACAGTTTTTCTGGAGATTTAGTGACGATGTTTTCAGATGTACCGACTTATGCTACAAGTATGCTGGTGATTGCAATTCGGGAAAGAATAATCCATCTCCAGAATCTAGACCCCGTTTTCGAAGTTTTATGTCCTCTCTACCCACTCGAACAACAACGAGGCAAAAACTACAATCCAACATCGCCGGTATCTGGTAACCGGTCGGAATCTAAACACCGATAAGACAATAAGGCACCTTGAATTACTTAAGAAAATTTTGTCTCAGCATAAATTTTCTCCCTGTTATTTTTTACTCATTCTCCTGATATTTTAGCTTAGTGATAAAAAATAGTCTATTTTGAGCTATCAGTAACTTTCTTGAGGCATGCTAGTTTAGACGTAAGATCAAGTGGTTGCAGGATATACTGTAGTATGTCATTCAGATATGCCGACATCTTATAGCATACATTCTTCATAAATCAGGGAAACAAACTCTTGTGCAGTCAGATGAGGTTGATGGTAGTAAAACTGGACTGTGCAGCTTGAAAGTTTACGCGTCTTATGGGTTCTGAGTCTTGACGATGCGAATAAGTTATCGAGCTGTGTACAATGAGACTATTGTTACAAACGCACGAACCGCAAATGAAGACATAACAATTACAGATTCTTACTCGTGTTCTACAGCTGACCACGACAGGGTAATGGTAGGAAGACCTATTGATCTCTATGATGAATCTGGACCATATAATTAGGCATAATATAGAGCTCGGTATTCCATATAGGCGTTTCAAATATTGAAACAGACTGATTCTGAAGAAAAGAGTGGGCAAAATTAAGCGGCAGGAACGACGATTCTTTTGATTTGTCAGCGGGAAGGTACAGGTACATAGTTAGCTTGATAGGTCACATCCATGTTGGAAGGCGGGCAGGCGTACTGCTGTAAGTTCCACTCATTCTTCTGGTGTGGATTAGGTACTGAGAGTAAACCATAATCTGAGGCATCAGAAGAGCTTTGCTTATTATGGAGAAATTTTAACCACAACAATCTTGGCATCATGCATTAAGTAAGCATCACCATGATATACCACTCTACTTACAAAAATGTAGGATTCAGACACATATCAGAGCATGATCTGGGTATCCGTTACTCTAGAAGCTTAAAATTAGAAGAACATGCCCCAGCTATTATCTCTCAATCCAGACGACTATTTGGGTTTATAAATGAGAACTTCTTGACAAGTGAGGCTCAGCTTACATCTTCAAAAAGTGTACAAGACCATCTTTTGGGTATTGCTCACTTATCTTCTCGAACATGAATATCATGGACAAAATACGATTAGAAAATGTCCAAAGAAGCATAACCCGGCAACTGCTCGGATAGAGCCTGTAGAATTCTTTTTGAATGTTTTGTTTTTGGGAAAATCCCTCCATGTTTACATATTTTTGCTATGACCTGATGGACTTTTTCTCTTGACATTTTTGGTATTTTATTTGATTCCAATTTGAGATTTTACCATTGTATGTTGTTATTCTTTCCATATTTTGTACTTATATTGAAGTTTTTGTGTTTGCTTTTGAACTGTACATATATTGTTTAAATTTGATATAATATGGCTACCGCCACATTTTTGGATAGACGCGGTGGCTGCTGGACTTAGTGTCACTTACTAGCTATTGTAATAGATACTCTACGGAGTAATTTAGTCCTGGAAGAAACAAAAATACCGTAAGCCTCTGTATTTCCATTTTATAACAATATAGAGACGTTTTCTCCTAGAAATTTGACCTTTTGATTTGGCTGGAACCTGGATCTAGGAGTAACGTACAGGAGTGTTTCTATTGGACGCGATTAGGACAGCCGCCGTCGAAATAGATTCTACAGTCTGGTATTTGCTCTTCTTGCGTGAATTATACTTTGGAAATCTCCATTGGAACATATATGATTTGGATCTATTTGGATTATTAAGAATTACAAGGAAACATTTGGAATTTTAATCGTTTATCATACTAGACTTCCTTGGGGGAAGAAGTTGGAACTACGTATCATTAATTTTGAACTGAATTTTGGATTTACTCTATTTTGTATTCGTTACCGTCTTTATTGAACTTTATTTATGATGTCAAACCGAAAAAAATCATACATGAGGAGGGTGGAAGAGCTCGACGGATCACAGGGCTCTAGGCAAGTCGTTGATGATAACCTTTTTATGGGTAACCCACATGTTATGTCTGATATTTATTATTGTAAGTCATCGATAGAGGGTTTAGAATTACCTAAGGTTGAACTTTCATATTTTGATGGAAGGTCTCGCGACTATTTTAAGTTCATACGACAGATAGAGACGTTTATAGAACCTCGAATCAAGGATGATCAAGTGCGTTTATTGTATTTAATTCATTATTGTAAGGGAAAAGCAAAAAATGCGATTGAAGGCTGTATTATTATGGATCCACAATCAGGATATAAGAGAGCTAAGGCCATTCTAAAACAGCTCTTTGGACAGACGCATGTAATAGCGCGAGAAACCTTAGAGGACTTATTTAGAACTGGGAATGTAGAATTTAATGATCCTGAATCATTGACGAACTTGGCCATTAAAATGCAGAATGCTTCTTTAACTTTAGAACAGTTAAATTGTACAGCTGAACTTAACTCTATGGCTACTTTAGAACGAATAGTAAGGCTCTTACCTCGTCGAATGCAAGCCCAGTGGGCAGAGCTAGTATTCAAGTGGGACGAAGAGGAGAGAGAGCCCAATTTTAACGAATTGACGGAATTTATTATGTCTCGTGCTAAGATAGCTAGTAGTAGGTTTGGAAGATTAGCTTATCAGGCTAAAACAGGAAATAATACGGAAGCTACTAGTGGTCTGCGTGCGAGACATTCGGATTCTTCGTTTCTACCTAAAGCACGCTCGGAAGATAAGAGATTTGTCAATTATATCACGAAAGCATACGCTGATGAAGGACGAGTATGTGACCGTAACGATGTAAAGCCTCTTGATGCGTGTCCTAGTAAGAAGCCGGTTGGTGTAACAGATAAGATGGCTTTTCTAAGTGTAGAAAAGAAAGAAAAAGGTGAAAAGTGTAGGCATCAAGATGGATCCGAAGTGTGTGATGATAAAAGCCTCTTAGCTGCTCGAAAAGCCTGGAACGGTAATTTGGATTCGAGTAATCAGAGGTTAGTGAGTTCAGCAAATATGAATAAAGCCCAGGCAGGATTGACTGAACGGAATAAAGCTTATTTTCGGAACCCTTCAGTTAGGGTAAATTATATAACTGGACCTAGAGTAGATTCTAGGATAAGTGATGGTGGTACAGTAACGGCTAAGAAGCCTAGGAGACATGATGCTACTATTACTAAGAAGCCTGAACCTCATGCTCTTTCGGATGCTACGACTAGCCATGGAAATAGTAGCCATCAGAACCTTAGTAGTGACAGTGATAATAAGGAGATAGAAAGTGTCAGCAGTTCACTTATAGGGACTAGTTTATCAACTTCATCGAATGAGCCTCCTAGTGTTTCGACGCCATCGGACCTCGTCACGAAGGTTAAGTTGATTGAAGATGCACAAGGTTGTGCAACTGTAACTGTTCCTATTACGGTTGACTGTCAGTCGAGTGATGATGAGAAGAAAGTGTTTGATGGTAACAGCCAGTCTACAGTGCTGTGTGATGACGATGCTATTGTTGAGCATATGTCTTGTGCCGCGGAAACGGATGCTAATGCAGAACGGAATCATTTAGACGTTGATAATAAACTGGATGTCACTGATGTGACAAATGAGTTACCGACGATGATGAATACTGTTCAAACCTCCTCTGCATCAGGAGATGGAAGGATAAATATTGATCCTACGTCATGCTACTTAAGGTCTTCTGGAGACGATGAAATGTCAAAATTGGAGATCCCACCCTTGCATATTATTTATGGGTCAAAAACTTCTGTTGATAAGTTAGCATCACGGACTTCATGGTATCTGCTGATCGGAGCAAGTGGTGGTGGATTGGCGACTCGTCCCCATGATAGAGAATGTAGTCCTTGGATAGGATATGACCAGTTTTGCGACGCGTTGTTCATGTTCGTATGGGTTAATTGGGTAAGGTTTATACTACCGTTAGGTCATTCCACGATAGATAGGGGAATCAAGGGCCTGATGGGAAAGTATAGGTATCTAGTTAGCGCGATAGGTCATATCCATGTTG